CCGTGTATGATTACACTACTGCTGTGACTCTACACCATGTACAGCCAGAGGAAGGAGAAGTTATGCTCCATTTTTATAGAGTATGTCAAAAAGCACTCTATTGTCATGTGTAACTAATCAGAACAAATTTAAAAATAAATAGAAAAAAAAAAAAAAGAAATCAGGCAACGAGTCAAAAGAGACCAAGTCAATTCCTGGAACTGGCAGAGGGAAGGGTGCAAAGAGGACACCCCTCACAGCGGTGCCTGACTGTGGGGCTAGGAAATTTCCCACCCCTTCCAGATATCTGTAGCAGCTTCTTCAGGGTCTGAGGCTCAGACCTGAACCAGGAAAAGAAAAGCCTGAGCAAAAGGGCACTAGGCTGTGACCAGGTCCTTGTGAAAAGTGGCACTCACCAGCACAGCTGGAAGGCACTCTGGAGCTCCTCCCCCCTTACCCTCCTCTATTTCCCAGAGGAGCCCAGAGCCAGCCAGTGAGCAGCAGAAGAGGGAGATGCCAGGGCAGAATGACAGGGCTCTGCATTGCACTATTGACAAAACAGCAGCTATTGATAAAATGTCAGCAGCTCCTGAAGATACAGGCACTTCCTATTTGGGGAGAATAGGAATAGTTCCAGTCTGAACCACCCACCACACTTCTACCTATGCAATTCAGAAATAAACAAATTAGAGAAAACTTCCAGAAGGCCCAGTCACTAGGTAATGGAAAGGCCCAGGGCTTTAGACTTAACCAGACCTGGTCCAAGTCCTGATCCTACTCCTCACTAAAAATAAGTGTAATTCCTGTGATACTCTGTTTCCTCACCTGTAAAATGAGAACCACCACCACCAATACACCATAGGACTCTTAGAAGAACCAAAATTAAGCAGGGACCAGTGGCATACATCTGTAATCCCAGAAACTCGGGAGGCTGAGGCAGGAGAATCATGAGTTCAAAGCCAGCCTCAGCAACTTAGCAAGGCCCTGTCTCAAAATAAAAAAGGGCTGGAGATGTGATTCAGTGATTAAGTACCCCTGGGTTCAATCTCTGGTACCACAAAAAAAAAAAAAAAAAAATCAAGATCGAGGCTGGGGGTGTAGCTCCATGGTACAGCACTTACCTGGCACGCATGAGACCCTGCACCCAATTCCCAGCACCATAAAAAAAGTAAAGAAAGATATACAAAAATTATCTGGCATATGAGTGACAATCAAGCAAGGGTAGCAGTCACTTCTGTTTCTCAAAGCCCACAGATTCTGTATTCTTGTGGAAAGTCTGTCAGTGTGAAGAGGTCCCACCTCTGGGGCTGTGGTCTCCATTTTAGATTAGAATGCCTTCACTAGCAAATAAAGGGCTCAATATACATCAGAAACAATCTATTATTCACACAAAGCAACTTTAAAAATTTACCTCTCAATGCAAAATTAGAGAATCAGGATTAAAACAGAAAGTCCGTCTAAAGGATACAGAGGCTAAATGCCAGGGCAGTAGAAGCTGAGGCACACAAGGAAATGCACTGGGCCACAGAGACCTTATTTTCTGGCTGACAGGAGACAGCAGCCCATAGAATCCCATGCAACAGCAGGCACCCAGCCAAGCCCAAATGCACAAGCAACTTCTTTAACCTGAAAGCCATGAAAGCAGCCAAGTGGGGACTGGCAACTTGGAACCAGAAACTCTTTGGCAGCAGCTCCTGAGGATACAGGCACTTCCTATTTGGGAAGAACAGGAATACTTCCAGCCTGAACCACCCACCACACTTTTATACCTGTGTAATTCAGAAATAAACAAATTAGAGAAAACTTCTAGAAAGACCTGGGAGAGCAATAAGACTAGTATCAGGAGAAATCGTTCTGTATTTAAACAAGTACAAACAGGTTCGATCATAGGCTTCAAAGTGAAGACAAGAAATTAAGAGCAGTGGCATCTCCCATTCCAACCCAGCTGGTAATGGATGCAGTTAAACTGCCTCTCGCAGCAACGTGACCTTCTGGGGAAAAACAAAGCAACTTCAAACGACCACTCACAGAACAGGGTCCTTATCCTGAATAGAATCCTAAATAGAAATAGGAATTTCCTCCTTTTTGCAAAGAACAGATTTTCAAGGAATATGCAGCAGGTCACACAGGTGGGATTTAAAATCAGTCACGTAAACATTCTATAACCCTGTCCCACAAGTTGATAACCAACAGTTCATCCCGGAGAAACCAGGGTGAGAAGGAAACCAGAGGCAGGAGCTTCCTGTGGCAGTGAGATAAAGCCTGTTATTGGCTCCATCTCCAAGGGCATAAAGTCAGGGGAAGCAGAGCATGCCCCGCTTGGAGCCCGGGGGACTGTCCAGGCAACTCCAGCCCTTAGGAGGCACCCAGTCAAGTGCAAGAAATTCCAGGCCTCCACCCTCTGTTACACACAGTTTGCAGGATTAAGTGGAAAGGCTTTCAATCTGGGCAAATGGAAAGAGCCAGAAAACTCAGTAAACAAAGCAAAGAATGCTTAGGACTTCAGAATGATATTTGAGATTTATTTCAAACAATAGGAGATAGGGAGGTTGTGAACACATATGAAACAAATTGGCCAAGGATGCATAGATTGTTCTCCCTACTTTTGTGTTTTGAGATGTTTCATAATTAAAAAAAAAAATACATATTCATTGTGGAAACTTAGGTAAATACAAAATTAAAAATCGCCAAGAAAAAATAAAAACCACACATAACTCAACCACTTGAGACAATTACTATTATACATTTTGGTCTACTTCCAATATTTTTCATATATTTCTCTTTCTTTTGTCTGCCAAACAGGACCATGCTGTCCATTCTGTTTTATAACTTGCTTTCCACCCCCGCCTTAGTTTGTCTTAGGTATTACTCAGTCACTAAATATTCTTAATATTATGATTATTACATAATCTTTTACCAAAAGGGAGACCATAGTCTATTTCCAATTTTTTGCTACAATAAGCAAGGGTGCAGCAAACTATGGAAAATGGTATTTATTATAAATAGGTGACTTCAAATGAGAGAGAAATGGCTTGATGCGTGCCTAAATATAAACTGGCAGCACAAAGGAAAAGCAAAGGTGAAGACAGGAGCTGGTGGCTGCCACACTGCACAATTCTAAGCAATTATTAACTCTCCCTGTACTCCCTGTTGCCCAGGCCACGTGAAAACTGCAGGAGGTATAAGGCTGTTAACATGCTCATAAAGTACCTCCCAGTTAACAATAATTCACCAGGTTCGGACAACCTGCTAGAATCCTCTCTCATACTGACTATTGCAAGGGCTAGAATATTCCATTCATCTGGGATGGCACAGGAAAATTCTGCTGGCTCAAGGTGTACCCAATGGCTTTTCAAAGACCATTGTGGATCCAGCACTCGATGACATTGTTAATCTAGCAGAATTAATGGACATGGCTTATGCCTGTTATTGGGTTCGTCCCCCACTCACCAAACCTTAGGCGATTTCTTCCCCTGAAAAAAGAAAATCCACACAATTCTCAAGATGGGGAGATGAGGAAGATCTATGTTTTCCCTGTTCCATTTGTTTCCTGCCAAGAAGTAGAATTTGGCTGAATGTCTGTGAAGACAAGGCCTCGTACAATCAATATCTGAATGCCTGTCAAAAAGTGGGAGGTTGGGGCAGAAGGATTGCAAGTTCAAAGCCAGTCTCAGCAACTTAGTAAGGTCCTATGTATCTTAGCAAGACCCTGTCTCTAACTAAAATGTAAAAAATGGCTGGGGATGTGGCTCAGTGGTCAAGCACCCCTGGGTTCAATTCCTGGTACAGAAAACAAACATCAACTACAAAACTATTTTGTGATACATCTTAAAGATTCAGAGCTGAACATATTCTAGTTGTGTTCCATCTGGCTTTCAGACTGCCAAAACACACCAGGGACTTCTGAACCAAACCATGTGTTTCTGGCCAGCAGCCATCCTGGATGGGAAGCCACTGCCACCTTCCGCTCCAGGAGGACCGAAGGGTGTGCTGCTTTCTTTCCCTTTTTTCCTTCCCCTTATCCATCTCTATCATTTAGGGTTTCTTATTTCAAAAAGGACAACTGTGGCTCTTTTCTCGTCCTTGTCAAGGACCGAGTGGAGAGAAAAAACGACCATGTCACCCTGAACATGGTCTCTGCGCTCAGACGTTTTTGGAAGTGGGCGACGAGGTGCTGATCAGTAAGTGAATGGCAGCTGCCACATGCAGCCTCTCTAAACTGGGTTCCCTTCCCAAACAGAAGAGTCCCCAACACCCACTATTGATGAACTTGCCTGGACTTGCAAGAAAGCATTACCAATTCCACATACTCTATGATGATCACTACAGAAAAATGCTCAATGTGTGCACAAAATCAAGGCATGTGCTGTGGTCATGAGCTCAAGACACTTCTTTTTATCATTTGTTGTTGTTGGGCTGTTTTGACAGTTGAAAATTATTTTAGGAATAAGTTATTACCACTTATCTATTTTTCTGAGATTGCAACCGCTCAAAACATGAGTTCATTTCTGACCTAAGTCTATGTCCTCAACCTGGATTCACACATCATAGGGAAGCAGGAGAAACCCAAATAAAGAGAAATGCAACCAGAGATGTCATGCAGTTCTCATTTTGGGCTGGATTCTCCAACAGGGCAGTCTTTAAGGTCTACCAAAATTGGGCCAGATAGCTCTATGAGCTTCTCTGTATAAGGGTTGACATTTACTTTTTCCCCTGGTAATAAGCAAAAAAAAAGCCAAATTCATAAACACAGAACAGCTGTCTCCTGGCAAAGACAGTATCCCATTGCACATGGCCACACCCTGACAGACACATACAGCCCAATCTGTCCCCAGCTCCAGCTGACTTGACTGCTATAGATTTTTCCCAAGGTGCTACAGAGCTCAGCCTCTGGTGGAAGAGTAGACAGGACCCACATGCGGGTGTGACTCACACTCTGCCACCTCCTGCAGGAAGTGCCATCACTGATTCTCTCTACCTTGTCTTCTCTGCACCAGGAGGGGACCAGAAAGAAAAGTTACCTTGCAGACAGCTGCCTGGAGGACTGCGTCAAAGCCTCCCTCGGGGGCATCTCGGTTGCGGGACACCCTCTGCTTCCGAACTTCCTCATTGAAGCTGTCGACTCTGTCAGTGAGAGGCAGCAGATGGCGGAACCCAAAGGAGGGGACGCAGTTTGGAAATAATTTGTAACTAGAGAGAAAGAAGAGAAGAGTCACTTTCCCAACATCACCATTAAATCTTAACCAAGTGTTCTGTGCCTTGGGAGACATCAGTAAATATTTATTCTGCACCTACCATATGCCCTGGGACAGGCATTGTGGAAAGAACAAAGATAAATAATACAAGTCCCACTCTCCAGACATCCAGCCCTAACCACAGGCAAGACAGCCTAAACCACGCAAGTGAATGGTACGGACCAATGACTCAAAGGAGGTGGAGATTTTGCGGTCTTCCGTGGACAGAGAACTTAGCATGGGCCTTGAAAGATGACTGGGACCAGCAGCATGGGCAAACTGAACCATGTCCACCAAGGGCAACGTAAGCAGAATTCCTCTAGGAAACCAGGTTCTCACATCCACTGTGTTGCAGCTGTGTGACAAAAGGTGCCATAATCTCTATGACAACCCACTCAGTGACCACCTGGGTGTGCTGGTACAAACAAATGCTAAATGGAACAGGCATGAAAACATTCTAATTTTTTTTATTCATTTATAAACACTTCTCTGATAAACTAGCAGCTCTCCTAGATGCTGCAGAAATCACTAGGAAATTAAGCATCTTCAAAGGGGAAACTGTATCTGGAAACTTGGAAGGGAGAAGAACTGCATGTCAACAGAGGGTTAATTTCAGGCTTTTCTCTTGAAATATTGGGCAATGACCTCTTTAGTCTGCTGTGGAAACCTCAAGTAGTCCCATTCCTGGAGGAAGTTAGCTCTCAATGGCAGTCTAGGAGCTTCAAGTTGATATAGCTAATGCAATAGGAAGAGAAGCCTGATTTTACAAATGGGTTCACCACATAAAGGGGAAGAAGGGAGAGTGTGGCATCCAAAGAGAGGCACATGTGCAAAAGTCCTGTGGCAGAAAGGGCACAGAGGAAGGCTGGTGGCGCTACAAGTAGAGAGTAAGGGGTAAGGCACCCTGGCCCAGAAACACAGGGTCTGTGGACACATTAAAGGAAGTCTCAGTCTCTCTCTCTCGCTCTCTCTCTCTCTCTCTCTCTGAAAAAAAGATGAAAAATAAGCTCTAACAGAAAGGTCTGGGGGAAGGCTTTGGATTCGATCTAAGCCGTGTGCATGGGAAGGGAAACAGGCTTATCGGCTGCCAGGAGGACACTGACTTCGCTGCTGCCAAGGCAACCTCAGCAGGGCGGGTCTGGGCAGGTTCCTCTCCTCTGCAAAGAGGCAGCCATTGGCTCTCTAAGTCCTCTTCAGGGAGACAGTCCCTGCTCCAACTGCCACCGTCACACCACCCTGGCGCAGAGCCCTCGTAGCAAGCCAGCTCCGGCAGGACAGAGTCAACCCTCCTCCCAGGACAGCCACGGGTTCTCCTGGGCAGGCAGCAGCCAGGCCTCCCACCTGCCCTCCCTGGGTTCTCCTCCCTACTCCCTCCCCAAATCTTCAAGAACACCCTGTGCTTAGACAGGTCAGGATCTTTTTGACCCCAGGCCACCAGGACTCTTCACGACCTCTTCATTTTGTCATAGGAGAGTCATGGAGATGACATTCCCCCTTGGAGTAGGCACGGTGGTCCCACGTGACCAATGGACAGGCTCAGAAGGAAGCCACGCATCCACAGTCTCACCGCCGTCTCTCTTCCTCCAAGTCCCTTCTCCCGACTATGTCGTTCTAGCCCATGACTTAGGACCTCAGGCATGTGTCCATTGTCACAGTTTGTGGGGAGAAAAGAGAAAAACGGAATAACTTCAATCAAATGAGAAAAATCCGGAAAGCTGTGAGCCGTGCAGCTAGAGCTCAGCATCTTCTACATCTTCCCTGTCACTCCTGCAACCAGCAATGAGCAGAAACATTTTTTACTGTGTAGGATCACCGTTCAGTAATTAGGAACTAGGAAATGTGTTTGCCAGAGAGAAGCCTGCATTGCAGAATATGTCTATAACCAAATCAGAGACACTTCTGAGAGGAAAGCAGCTTTGCCACACAGACCCTGGGAATATTTCCATTGTCACTGAAATAGGATGTCACCTGTGACTAGTTATCTGTTGTAACCTCTGGAATTGTGGTCTGAGTGGCCTGGAGATCTGGCTGTTTTGGGGTCTCCTGCTAGGAGACTATCTTACTGCCACTGTGTCTGTGCTATAGGATACCAGTTTAGGGTTATTTATAGGGAGTTACAAAATTAAAGGTTATTAACCAGGCCAGGTTCAGTGATACACACCTATAATCCTAGTGACTTGGGAGGCTGAGGGAGGAAGATCACAAGTTCAAGGCCAGCCTCAGAAACTCAGTGAGACACTGTCTCAAAACAAAAAGGGCTGGGGGTGTAGCTTAGTAGTAGAGCACTCCTAAGTTTATTCTCTACTAACCCTCCCCTCCCCCCAAAAAGGAGAAGGGCGAATGTGTGTATAAAAAGCAAATCCAAATTTGAAGACACTAGATCTAGATAAATCTAAAAAACAATATAATTTTTAGGACAAGAATGTGGATTGATCTGATGTGGAAAGGATTGCCTCTTACTCTAGACGTAGAGAATTTCTGGATAAAATACAGTTTTTAAAAATTTAAATAGATAGCCAAGACTAGAAGCTTAGAATGTAAATCCCAGGTGTCAGAAATGAAGAAGGAACCATTCCACAGATGAATGGACTAAAGAGCATCAGGAAATGTGCAGGAGGGAGCTGGGATGTGTCAGGGCAGAACAGAGGCCCTGCAGGCTTAGAGGAGGCCTCTACCAAGCAGGTGACGAGCCCAGGCCTGCAGAAGCCAAGCCCTGACACAGGGCTCTCTGCAAAGATAGAGCCAAGTGCCACACACTAAACAAGCACAGGACATCTCCAGCCACCAGCCTGGGAAAGAGACAAGAAAGCTCACCTCCCACTCTAAGCCAGGAGCAAGAAGAACCCCAGGTCTGAGCAATCAGAACTCATGACTTTTAGGGCAAAGGAAGCCCCAGCTGAGAAATTAACAGGAAAACTAGTTCCATAGTGAATGCTGAAGGTTCCTGGCAGCAGCAAACTTCAAGCTGCTCTGTAGGGGGCCAGCACTCCAGGGCATGTGGTCCCCGGATGGAAAACAGCCTCCAAGATGAACTAAGGAAACACAAACTCCAAGAGAAACAAACCATCAGGAAGGAATGTCAGCAAATCCAATGCACTGAAGGACCACAATTCAAGAAATGGGGAGAACAAAATGATCTGAAATTCTTTATAAGAATATTTAAGATATTTAACAAGAGGAAGAAATAGAAGCCAAAGTTTAGAAAAACAAAACAAAACAATTAAATTAAAAAAAAAAAAATAGAAGGCTTTAAGAAAAATTGTATAAAAAGGGCCGAGGCTGTGGCTCAGTGGTAGAGTGCTTGCCTGGTATGTTTGAGGCCCTGGGTTCAATCTTGCACTGCCAAAAAAAAGAAAAATAGGAGCATCTGAAAAAGAACCAAATAAAAATTATAGTAGTAAAAAATATATATAGTCACTGATGCTCAAAAATGAAATTTTAGTGGGTCTGGAGCTGTGGCTCAGTGGTAGAATGCTTGCCTAACATGTGTGAGGCACTGGGTTCGATTCTCAGCACCACATAAAAGTATTAAAGATATTGTGTCATCTATAACTAAAAATATTTTTTAAAAATAAAATTTTGGTGTCTGGATTAAGCTGAAACTGAAGAATAAAAGTAAATTAGAAGAAATTTCCTATTATGTAACTAAAAGAGAGAGAAGAGTAAAATTAGGGGAGAAAAATTAAGAAACGTGAAATTTAGAGTGAGAAGCCTGCCACCTAACAGTGTCCCGATGAAAACAGAGACAACATGAGAGAGGAAGCAGTCAGAGAAATAAGGTCAGAACTTTCAAGAATAAAGATGTGCACTCAGATTGGGAGCAGTGGCGGATGCCTATAATCCCCGCAGCTCAGGAGGCTGAGGCAGGAGGATGGTGAGTTCAAACCCAGCCTCAGCAAAAGTGAGGCCTGATCAACTCAGTGATTCCCTGCTCTAAATAAAATACAAAATAGGGCTGAGGATGTGGCTCAGTGATCAAGTGCCCCTGAGTTCAATCCCCGGTACCAAGAAAAAAAAAAAAAAGATGTGCTCCCAGAAGAAAAAAGCAGACCAAGCTACAAGCAGTGTAGATAAAAGCAAATCCACCTGGACACACAGGAGTGCATATCACTACAGAAGAAATTAAAAATCACTAGAGAGAAACACAATGACTAGAAAAACAGCCGATGCCATATCAGCCACGAAGAGGCCAGAAGAAGTGGGTAACACCTTCAAGGTGGCAAAGGACTACTGTGATTTTTGGGGAGAAATACACAATGGGTAAGAAAAAATATACATAATGAAGGATGAAATGTATTGGCTCACTTGCAAATGCTTCCATATGAGTTGTATTTCAACATCCTATACAATAGAAAGAAGTGTTCAGAATTGGAAAGAACAAATCCTGTGTCAGCGAGCATCAAGTGACTCTTCCCAGTGAAACTGTTCCTATTATTCAAAATAGCAACTGGACAGTACTCCACTATGACACTTAAGTTACTCTGTGCAATTTTTCTTCTCATGGCAGCCCTTCTTCCTTCAGATTTGGCATTTCTGGTACATTCTACAATGGGAAGGGATGAGTTCAGGATTTGGATCCCTTGGCAGAAACATCTGGAGCAGAGGAAGAAGGGACACACCTCAGGAACCCCCGAGTATATGGCTTTCCTTCCTGCACAGGTATCAAATCCCCTGACTTACCCGGCTGCCCCAAACTTCCTGGGGGCTGCCATTGCTGCTCCTACCACTCCAGGGGAGAAAATCCTAACTGAAGGTGCTGCTAGAGACTGGGAATAACCGTACTTCTCCTCTCCCCATTAGCTGGAGGAAATGGACGGTCAGAGAAGGATGCCAAGCAAAGGTCTCCCTAGTTCAAGCACGGAATGCAAACAGCAACAAGACGAGAGCATGGGTGTGGACTGCGGCACAAACCGAATGTTCCCGGACCTCCTTGTTTTCCAAGAAAATCCAGCGATCCTAGTTATTCTTGGCCATATCTTGTGTTTTAAATGTTGGTAACTACCAATTGGTATAGAATAGAAGACACAGAGACAAACCCACATATCAAGGTCACCTGATCCTTGATGAAGGTGCCAAAAACATAATTAGAGAAAAGATAAACTCTTGAACAAATGGTGTCAGGAAAACTGGTTATATCATAGGTAGAAGGATGAAACTAGACCCTTATCTCTCACCCTGCACAAAAATCAACTCACAATGAATTAAAGACCTAGGAATCAGAAGAGAAACAATGCAACTCCTAGAAGAAAACTTAGGGTCAACACTCCAGCATACAGGCACAGGCAAAGATTTTCTTAATGGGACCACTAAACCTCAGGAAGTAATGCCAAGAGTTAATAAGTGGGATGGAGTCAAATTAAAAAGCTTTTGCACAGCAAAGGAAACGATTAGGAATGTGAAGAGAGAACATACAGAATGGCAGAAAAATCTTTGCTGGCTACTCTTCTGACAGAGGATTAATATTCAGAATATATAAAGAACTCAAAAAAACTTACCTCCCCAAAAAATCAAATAACCCAATTAATAAGTGGGCAAGTGAATTAAATAGACATTTCTCAAAAGAAGAACTACAAATGGGCAACAAATATATGAAAAAATGTTCAACATCATTAACAATTAGGGAAAGGTAAATCAAAACGACACTGAGATTTCATCTTACACCAGTTAGAATGGCAGCTATCAAGAATACAAATAATAATAAATGCTGGAAAGGATGTGGAGAAAAAAGGAACACTTTTACAATGTGAGACTGTAAATTAGTATGACTATGGAAAACAGTATGAGGTTCCTCAGAAGACTTGGCATAGGACCACCATATGACCCAGCTATACCACTCCTCAGAAGTTATCTTAAAGAATTAAAATCATCATACAATAGAGATATATGCAATGTTCTTGTTTATAGAAGCACAATTCACAATTGACAAACTGTGGAACCAGCCGCCTAAGTGTCCATCAACAGATGAATAGATAAAGAAAATGTGGTCTATATACAGGATGGGAGTTTTATTTAGCCATAAAGAAAAATGAATCATGTCATTTGCAGGAAAATGGATAGAACTAGAGACCATTATGTTAAGTGAAACTCAGAAGGTCAAAGGTCATATGTTTTCTCTAATTGGGAAACTAGAGAGGAAAATGGGAAAGAAGGGGGGAAGTTCAGAGATCTCATGAAAATCAAAGTGAGATCAATAGAGGAAAGGGACCCAGAAGTGGGTGACAGGGAAGGAGAGAAGTGTTGGGGAGTGATATTGGCCAAATTACACTGTTATATTGTGTGCATATACAAATATGTAACCAAAAAAAAAATCTCATCATATGTACAATTATGATGCACCCATTTAAAAAAAATGTAGAAGCGGGGGGGAACAGTAAAAGCTAGCTGAAAAAGAAAAAAAAATCCTGGTAATTTATTTGCAGTGCCGTTAAAACTGAAAGGCAAACAAAAGTCACATACAGACTGGATCAGGCACAGGGACAGCCAGATTACCTGCCCTGGTTTGTGCTATTCTCCCCAAGAAGTGGCAAAGATATTTGAAGAAGCAGGATGCTGCACAGCCTGGATCTGGGGAGGGAAATCTCAGCACAATGACCCCCCTCCTACTACTCAGCTCAGAGGACAGAGATTTCTGTCACAGAGAACTGATGCTTCCTTCGAAACTCCCATTTTTCACTGGATTTCCTGTCTTACAAGCAGCTTTTCAGTATGCCTTGTACTCATGGCCGGTCAAGAATCTCACTGTCTGCGTCTGGTTCTGCCTTGGAGGGCTTAGAGAGCGAGCTCTGAATAAGCAATGCGGAAAGCCTGGAGTATTCAAATGATAAGTGCCCATGGCCAGTCCTTGATCCTCTGCCAGCTTCTAATCCAGCATCTCAGTTAGTGAGACACACCCTGTCTGGAGATGGGGCATAGGCAGGGCAGGGAAGGAAAGGAGCAGATGGGATCACGGGTACAAATGATTTGATAAAAAGTTTTGGGTATGATGCTGCTCGCTGCTCCTGGTAAGCAGGAAATCTCCAACAGGACATTTGGCACGGGGACTGGCTGATAAGGGTCTTGGAGATAGCATCATAAGAATGCCAGTGGCCACCTATGGCCTAGAGGAAGCAAAATTGACAAATGATGACACCTAGCGCTCTTCGTGAAGGAACTTAAGAGTCTATTTGTCCTCAAAACTTTTTATTATCTCATTGTTTTTCCACCATTATGTCACTTCTCAACCCCTGGAGAAGATCTGAAGAGGCTTCTAGGAGAGTAAACAACAGGACCAGGAAGTATTCGCTGGAGCACAGGCCACCAGCACATTGTCACCTCACCCAACCACCCAACCCGACTCAGACCTGGGAGCTGTTGAGCTGCCAAAGATGAGCTGGAGGGAAAGGCAGCCCAGGGGCTTAAAAACCACTCTCTTCCCCTGGGTGGCTGTGGGAGACCAAGAATTGAAAGTGACATCACAAGATGGAAGGAGGCTAGATCCCTGAGTCACGGCTTGAAGGAGAGCTGCCAAGGAAAGCAGCTCAGTACTCATTAGAATTCGTTCAAGTAAGAAAAAGCTGGATTGTAGGGAGACATGGAGATCTGGGGATTGCTTGTTACTGCAGCTCAGGTAGCCCCTAGGGGCAGCTGTTGGGTGACTTTGAAAGTCTCTGGGTTGTAGGGTGACATGCATGGGGAAAACAGGCTTTATGTTAATGAGAATGCAGAGTCTGAAAGTAATCTGTCTGGATTCACACCCCAGGTCAGCCCCTTACTACCTGTGCACTCTTAAGTTATTTGTTTTCTCTAAGCCTCACTTTCCCCATCTTTAAAATCTGGCTTACATCTACCTTAGAAGCCCGAAAAGGCTGTTTTGATAGGAATGAAAGAATCTATCTGAAGTGTTTAGTATGGTGCCTGACACTAAGTAAGAACTTAGCTGTTCCTTAGCTAGTGACTACTTTGGGACCTTATAATCCAAAACATCACTGAAGTTGAAAATGTAGAGATGAAGCAAGAAAAAGGTGTTATTTACCACTTGTATGAAGTCACATTGCATAATGTTGTATTTAAAGGGGTACTTGAAAGACTAGAAAAGAAAGAAACCAACCTAACAGAGGTTTTGTCAGGGGCACTGAAGATTGCGATCCCCCAACATACACCTACACATGAAAACCCCATGCAGAGACCAACCTTGAGGCCCATTTTCTCTTATTCCTGGGCATGCAGCTAAACGAGCATCCCATCCTTACTAGAATTCAGTTGTGTCTAATAGAATGTGGGAACAGGAATGGGAAGGGCACTTCAGACCAGGCTCATCTAATCCTGCTATGCCTGATCCTCCAGGTAGGATGACCTGCAATCCATACACAGAAGATGGAAGGACACAGGGTCCCTGAGTCACTGATCAGGAGACCCCATTGGACTTAGATAAGCAAGAAACAAACTCTTAGAAAGTTTGAGCTATTGTACACTTTTGAATTTTATTTTCAGCATTAACATTCAGAAATTTCTGTTCTCTAATAATTCATCAAATATTCTTTAATTCAGGTATTGAGTTACATTAAAAAAAGTTCATACCTTTAAAACACAAGGTTTTTTTTTTTTTTTTTTTAAATATTTATTTATTTTTTTAGTTTTCAGTGGACACAACATCTCTGTTTGTATGTGGTGCTGAGGATCGAACCCGGGCCGCACGCATGCCAGGCGAGCGTGCTACCGCTTGAGCCACAACCCCAGCCCAAAACACAAGGTTTTTATTCAGCTTTGTCAAGATAAGTTAGAGTTACTTACATAAATAATAGGGACAATTCTGAATTCATTTATTCAAATATCTTTATTTTATTTATTTTTTTATGTGGTGCTGAGGATTGAAACCAGTGCCTCACACATTCTAGGTGAATGCTCTACCACTGAGCCACAACCCCAGCCCTCAACCTGGGTCCTTGACTCCATAAGAATATTTTCTAAATTCTGTTAATGTAAGAAAATGGTGCTGAGTGAGGCAGGCAAGAAAATTAATGAGCTATGAACCTTGTAATAGTTCACTTCTTCATATGTAGGGCAAGGACAGAACTTGGTCATCACTAATTGGATTAAATGCCTAAGCCTGGTCAGTGCTCCTAAACATCCTTCCTTGGGGTAAGTTTTCCACTACTCCATCCCTACCCCTCCCCATACCTGACAGTAGAGCAGCGGCCACTTACCCAATGCATGGATTGGTCTGGTATCTGGGTGCCGTGTAGGAGAAAGGAGAGATGTCCTTGTCAACAAAAGACCCAAAGCCCAACCGGAAGTTGCTGGTGAGTTTTCTCATCTCCTCAGCGAGCTTGGTGCCCAGGCTTCGGATGTTGTCCAAATCATCCTTCATGGACAGGGAGAGGTCCATCAGGTAGTACAAGTCCACAGGATAGTCCTCCACCTGGCGAACCTGCAGCTGGAAGGTGGTCTGGTCACCTGTGCCAACAGAGAGGCCACACACCTTAGAGGCCACCCAACTTGCTGGGGGATTTCAAAGCTGCTCCACCTCTTGCTTTTTTTTAGTGATGGTGTACCTCCCAGAAGAAAGATTTTTTTCTTAGAAGTAGAGTGCTTGCAGGGAATATGGTGCCTCAAGTGAAGACCCTGATTCTCCTCCCCAAACGCCTGAACCAGCAGCGTCTCTAATGAAGCTCTTCAACAGCCAGACTCCCTGGGGGTATTCTATTTTCTCAGCCAAAGACCCTTAGATAACTGGCAGACAGTGAGCCAGATGATTCCATGGACACAAACGGGGTGGAGAGTAGCCCACCAACCAGGATCCCCTCCAGAGAAGGAGCCAGCCCAGATGGGAAGGAGGTGTCAGAAAACAGGGAAGGAATTAACAAGAGGAGTGGACACAAGTGAGATCAAGGTGGGGAAGATAGAGACACACAAGTCACAGAGGGCGGGCAACAAAGACAGCTACTTAAAATACCCCAAAGGGCAAAAGTATCTAGGCCTGGGGCTGGGGATGTGGCTCAAGCAGTAGCACGCTCGCCTGGCATGCGTGCGGCCTGGGTTCTATCCTCAGCACCACATACAAACAAAGATGTTGTGTCCGCCAAAAAAAGCTAAAAAATAAATATTAAAAAAAAAAAAAAATTCTCTCTCTCTCTGTCTTCTCTCTCTTTAAAAAAAAAAAAAAAAAGTATCTAGGCCTGTGCCACGTCACCAGTCTCTATTTCCCCAGCCATTCACCAGACAAGAGTGTTCAGTTCTTCCACATATTTGACATTTGGGGACAACACACACCCAACTCATTGTCTGAAATCACATGTATGAATACAGGAAGATGGATTCCAAATTTTAGCTTCGTTAAAAAGAAAAGAAGAAGAAACAAAAAGAGAAGAAAATAAAAGAATAACTACCAAAAACAACAGAAAGAAAAAAAAAGACACCACTAGATTTGTTGACCAGTTATAAGAAAGAGAAAATGATTTTTGGCTCTACAATAAGAGAGCTCACAGAAAAGGGGAATTAATTCACAGAAAGAGATTAAGGAGAAGAGCCAATGTCTAAGTGTGTCCTTTGCTACCTCACTGTCCAAGATTTAGAGACAGGCCCAAGTCAGGGTTATTATCAGAAGACCAAAGATAATGATCCTTATATCATTTCATAATCTCCGAAAGCATATCACTTAGAACCAACTTCAAGATTCAATTCATACCAGGTAACTCAACCTGCCTGGGGCTTATTAGCCTTTCAGGAATACTAAGACATGCTCTGTTTATCCCAGAGCCGAACTGTCCATGCACGATTCAAATTCGGATATATTCTTCACATGCACCAGCCAAGGTGGCCTTGCTTGTGCCCACAGAGTCTACATAGATTAACTGCAGCCACATCCAAAGAAGCCAATCTTTCATCTCTAGCTGATAGCCAACAAGCCAAAGCCTCCCTGCACCTGCAGGACAGAAACCCCATCCAATATGCTCCCTCTCCTCCCACCGCATACAAGGCATATTTCGTGAGCTAAACCAGGAAGAATCCAGTGATCAAAAGATTTCAGTTCAAGTTTCATTTCTGTCCCTCGACTAGAGGTACAATCTGAGCCTTGATTTCCTTAAATATGAAATAGAAATAACAACCACAAAGCTCACGGCACTGACTGAGGCTGTGAGGCAGTGGTGTGGGAGAGAAAAGTCCTTTGGCAACAAAGCCTTCCATAAATGAAGTATGATTATTATAATTACTATTTGCAGCCAAAATGGCAGCTTCAAGCCTGCTTCCTGATATGTTTTTTCCATGCACTGTTATAGCTACCTCAGGACTGATGTAGTCTGCATTGCCTGTTGGTATGAGTCTATTTTTAAAAAAGCATCCGTCTGACTCAAACAGAAGAAATGTTTGAGATTTCTTCCAGAATGAATTCCGGACTGCTGCGGTATGTCTCTGGCTCCCATCAGGCAGACAGAGCAGGTCCCTGCATGGGGGCTCTTGGATGTCACCCCACAGAGGAAATGAAGAGGGAGGAACTGGGGGAAGGGACACCCCCATTAGCCTTTGCCAGGGCAGATGAACCCCAAGTGGACAGAGCCTGCAATCAGATCCCCTCCATCCAATTCCATCTCCTCTTGGCAGGCTCTCCCACATTTTCATTCACCTGTCTACCTTCTCCCCAACTTTTCTTCTTCTTTTTTTAAATCTAGAATCTACTTCTATCTTTTTTGCAGATTATGAATAATTAAGACAGGTGATTTAAGACCAGTAAATGGGGAATTATCTTAGATTCAAGGAGGCACACATAGACATCACCCTAGGAGTGTCACTAGGCTTGGAAACAACAAAGCTGGGTTCATTCCAAACCTGGTCATCAAGGATCTGGGGACCTCAGTTCCTTCTAACGTGCCGCTCCACTTCCGCTTAGTGAAGTGGGGAGGATATGAACTATCCTGGGGATTCAAAGGGACAATGTATATAAATACCACACAAATGCTTCTACACAAGGAAATCTTTGACCTCAATTCCCCAAAAGGTCAATTACTGAAGCAATTTCCTATGGGAATGAAAAAGAGAGGGAAAATTCTGCCAGAAACTTAAGTTTGAATGGCTACAGCCATGGGCCTATAAATTTAACTCCAAATTTTCCAGACATAAAGGCAAAGACAGAAACAAGATGTGATATTTATAGGTCCCAAACTCTGCTAAGAAGATTATCTATTAGTGAGAAATTTGTTGGCATTAAATTCTAAGATAAATTGATCACTAAGAAAACACACACAAACACACACCCCTTCTCAAAGGGGGGCTATAAATATTAAAAAGGATCATTTCTCCTGGTTTTCTAAAAAGAAAGAGATGTAAGAAAGAGGGAATGCCATTCATATTTGGAATGAAGTTTTATTGCCACCTCTACTATGCTTGATCTTAAATACCACAAATACCTGAAGAGGCTTTGGTAACAATGGAATGTTCTGCCAAGAGATTTTGGAGGGATGGACATTCCTGCTCATACTCTTGACTTGGGTGTCAAGCTTCTATCGCACCAAAGTCCCAGCAGGAGAGGCCTTCAGCCAAAGGCGAGTCTGTCACCAATGGTGAAGGGCACTCTCTGCTGGGAGGTCTGGGGCACATTTCCCACCCAGAACCACACAGGCTTAGACACAGTCTGCCCTTCCGCCTCTCCTCCCGTCATGGTGCTCCCCAGCACTGCTTGAGGTTAAAGTGGCTCCCTCCACATACCCAGCAGGGGGAGAAGTGCTTCTCACCTTCCCTGGCAGTACCCGACACTGGTGACACCACCCCAAGGCCACATGCCCAGATCTGTCATCCCTTACTGTCCCTCTCCTCATAGAATCCCTTCAGGCTTAGACCCCTTCTCTTTCAAGTTGCTCCACGTACTCCTTTCCTGGGGACCAGTGACAGTATCAGAGAAACAAATAAAGAAAAATCCAAAGACAAGCTGTCTACCAGCACCTGTGAGGATGAAGGTGCTCTCCCAAGTGGCCCCTCACGGCCTTCTGGGTTTTCCTGTTCCCAAAGCACCCAGCTCCAGCTGTATCTGCACAGAATTCCTTTCACGTCTCCATTCCTAAGTACAGGCTCTCCTGCTGTGATCAAGTATCAGCTAGCGATCCACCCCAAACACGTTTTTTAACACTTTCTTCTTTCAGCTCTTTCTTCAATAGAAAGTGAGAAATTTGTTTTCCTTAGGAATATGTCTCCATTGACAAACATTTCTAGAGAGTGAATTATGAATTCCAGCAAGAACTTTTAAGATTCATTGTTCTTCATGTGTGAAGACAAAAATGGTATCTCAGCAAAGATACTTGCCATCCCCAAATAAATGTGAGTGGCTTTAGATTGCCTAGAATTACCCTTCTATGCTAGAAACTGAAAGGAAGAAGGGAAATATAAAATCACCTACATGGAAACAGGATTACAGATGAACACAGAATTAGGGCCCTAGTGCACACCTTATGCCTACAGCTCTTCTGTTCATTATGCAAAAGGTAAATAATTGTATCCAGACCTAGATCCAAAGAATCATCTCCCTGGTCTAGAACAAGGCTGCTGGGCTGCACAGGATCCCACTTGCCACCTCAAAATCCTGACTCCCAATAGATGGAATCTTGGAACAAGTCATGGTGGCCTCCACAGCGCCCGCCTCCAAGCAGAAGCTCTGTAGTTCCAATTTCCTTAGAATAGCCCCTTGTCCATCCACCATCAAAAGTCCTTCACCCTTTTAAGTATGCACAATGCTAGTCCAGGGGCAATATCTAGGCCAGTAACTGGCACCTCCAAAATGGAACTCAAGGGCTGGGGTGTAGTTCAGGGGTAGAGCACTTGCCTGGCACGTGTGGGGCATGGGGTTTGATCCCTACCAACACAAAACAGAACAGAACCTGGAAGGAGAGGGGAGAAAAACCCATAAATAAGGGCTGGCAGGAAAACAGCCACCAACCACCCGCAGCTTAGTTGACACAATGGTACCAATGGCAATTTCCTGGTTTTGATAACATACTCCTGTTAGGTCAAATGTTATCACTGGGGACAAATAAGAAGGAGACATGGGAAATACAGTTATTGTTTTTGCAACTTCTTGTGAGTCTAAAATTATTTAAAAATAAAAAGTTTAAAATGCACACATACAAAAGCTAATGCTCAAAGTCGTAATTTAAGAGGCTAAAGGTTTGAGATGAATAATGACTTTAAAAAATCCATTTCCAACTATCCTAGAGTTTCAAAACCACCTCTAGCTTTTGACCATCCCAATAAGATTTACTTTAAAGTTTATGTCTTCTTAAGAGTTTTAGGTCCTTTGTTAGGGATTTTTTACAAAGTTCTTATTCTGACATATTATTCCAGTAATGAAATAAAATGGAAAACATGATCCTGTGTTTACACAAAATCCTGCTTAAAGTTTGGCAGTTCTTCAAAAAAAATTAAACATAGGATTACCATATGATCCAGCAATTCTACTCCTAGCTATATACCCAAGATAATTGAAAACATATGTCCCCATAAAAACCTATACTTGAATGTACATAACTGCCCAAAATGGAAACAGCCTAAAATGTTCTTCAGCTAAAAATGTGGTATTACTACATGTACACAATGGAATATTATTTGACCATAAAAAGGGATATTGTATATTCTACAACATGAATAAATGGCCACTTGCTATATGACTAAAAGGAAATACCCAGCATAGGCAAAAATCAGAGAGATGGAAAGTGGATTAGTGGTCACCTGGGGCTGGATGAGGAGGGGAGAGGGTAGGATAAGGAGTAACTATTAAATGCCACAGTCTGGCTGGGCACAAATCAGCAGGAACAAACTTTATTTCCGAACTCCACCAGCACACTCCACACACGCTCCCCGGGAACTCTCCCTAACGCCAACTCTCCCGAATGCCACCCACGCGGCTCCTCCAGGAACACACCACACACCAACCGGAACTCCCTCCCCCAGGCTGCCTGCGCACTCACTCTTGGAACCCCGCAAGAACTCAAGGGGAACTCCAAAGTAGCGGGCGCCTGAGGCAGCAAGAGCCACCTTATTACCGGACAGTAAAGGTCTAATATACAATTGAATCAATCCAGCATCATCTTAATGGCTAGCCTCTCAACCATTACTTCTGGCAAAATGCCAGGGGCCATTCTGACTCGGCTGTGGCTCTCAACAGGGTGTATTACTGGGGTAATGAAAATGTTCTGGAATTAGACAGTGGTGATGGTTATGCAACCTTGCAACTAAGAATCATTGAACTGCACACTTTAGAATTGTAATTGTTTGATATATGAATATTAATTCAATTAAAAAATTTAAACGTGTTGCTTAAAGAAGGAAATTTTTATTTTTCTTTCTCATTTTCTCCTTTATTTATCCCAGAACAAAAGCTTGGCCTTCATGAAGCATCTTTCATGTCATGCTGAGACCTGTTTTGTACAGCTGGCAAAGGGTTGCACATTTCACTCAACAAATACTTATTATGAGGGGCAGAGCAGAGAGCAGGGGAAAAGACAGGACAACATTTTCAAAAGTATAGAGAAAAACCAATCCCTACCTACCTGAAGAATCCCTCAGAATCGGGGGAATGTTCCTGAGGTCAGTATGCACAGAAAATTTTGCTAACTGCAACACATCATTCCCATATTCCCTAATAAATGGGGTTTACTTCTACTCCTTTTTATAAATATTAAGGTTATATCTTAAAAAATAAGAGACACTCTTGGTTTCCAGTATTTCTATATTTAGAAACACATTCACAATGGTTCTCGAATTTTAGGGATTCATCTTTTTGTCGGATCTCTCCTTGGTCTTCATCTGTACAGACTGAAACATCCTCTTGGTTTGGTGTGTCTTCCTGGGGCAGCCAGCCCCTCTGACACCTCAAACCCTCAGCCCTGGGCCCTCCAGGGATAACCTTCCACAAGACTGACCTTCACACAGCACCTGCATTTTGTATAAACACAGGATCATGTTTTCCTTTTCATTTCCAACACTGGAAACAATACCAGAATGCTTAGCAAGAGAAGTGACTATACCCAGTAAGACTGATTTCTTTTTTCTTTAGTTGAGCATACATTAGCAAATGGCATAAACCTGTCATGGCTCAAATAGCTTCTCTGACTCCTCCATGGGGCTGTTTTCAAAACAGCTGGTCAGTTGAGCCAGTCTCTCTACTTTCAGTTGCACTTTAATTTTAATTTTTAAAATGGGAATCATTAAAACTGTAGCATCTTTGGCTTTGTGAGACATCCAACTCTTTCCTTAACTAAATCTACCCTAAGAAATAAGGATTTGCTGCCACCGAGGGTATTTCTTGGAGAGAACCCCACAGGTTCTGAGAGCTATTGTAAATGCCAAGTTTCAAAAGCACAATTAGAAGCCTCCCAGGATGTGGATGCTGAAACTACAAATCCTTTAGGAAATATGACTTTTGCTCCTTATCTTCAAAGATTATTGAATGAAAATAGCACAAGATTACAAATACATTCTGACTATAGGTATGCAGAAATATGAACACATGTAAATGAAGACAGAAGGTATAGGAAAAGTACAAAATAATAATGTGTTAAAATGGATGATTTTTCTAGAATTTCTTTTAAATTACTGTTACACCATTATTCTGATGAAAAGAAAGATACAGCATTCACATTCGTGGATATCCATTCCTATACTACACCATGTTCTAATATCCCAATAGTCCACAGCAAGCCCTACAGCCCCTGCTCAGTTAGAACCCTCCACCCTGAGTCTGTGTGCATGTGAGTTCTTTTCCGCAGGGTACAGCACTCCACATTGGGGCTCAGCTGACTCTGCTCTCACCCACTCAGTGCTGGGAGGACTCCTTCCTCTGCTCTTTCATCCTAGTATCCCACCACACAAACAGCTGAGTGCAACTTACAGCGAGAAGATTTTCAAAACTCCCAACTTCAGTTAATCCTACCCCTGATCTCTGGGCAGGCAATCCAGGAGTTTGGGCATCTCCGTTCAAATCTACATCTAGAACCTTTGGTCATTATCCTTTGAAAATAATATTTTAACTTTTTAAGGTCCTTTAAGACAAAAAAGTCTCATGTAAGCCTCTGAACATGCCAGTCGGGGTCTAGACAAAGACCCTGAAATGCTGAGGGGAGGAATAACCTGCTGTTATGGTTTGGATGTGAGGTGTCCCCCAAAAGCTCACGTGTGAGACAATGCAAGAAGGTTCAGAGGAGAAACGATTAGGTTGTGAGAGTTAACCCAATCAGTGAATTAATCCCCTGATAGGGACTGAGTGGTAACTGAAGGTGTGGAGTATGGCCTGTATGAAGTGTGAATGGGAGCATGACTTTGGGGTGTATATTTGCATGTGGCGAGTGGAGACCTCTCTGCTTTCTGATCACCATGTGAGCCACTTCCCTCTGCCACACTCTTCTGCCATGTTGTTCAGCCTCACCTGGAGCCCCAGAAAATGGAGCCAGCTGTCTATGGACTGAGTCCTCTAAAACCATAAGCCCTTATATAAACCTTTCCTCCTCTACAGATGTTCGGAGGGATGGACATTCCTGCTCATACTCCTGGCTTGGGTGTCAAGCTTCTAGCTCACCAAAGTCCCAGCAGGAGAGGCCTTCAGCCAAAGGTGAGTCTGTCACCAATGGTGAAGTGTACTGTCTTTCAGTCACAGCAGTGAAAAAGCTGACTAAAACACCTGCCCAGGGCCTGTGAGCTAGGGATAGAGCCAGAGCTGGAGCCCAGAACAGCCAAGCAGATCCACAATCATCCCACTGTTCCAAGTTGCCCTGAAGCCTAAACCTTCACCTGGAAATAGTTATTGCCAGTGGTTTTCTAGACCACAGGATAGATGAAATGTCCAAAAGCAAGGGAATTTGGAAAAATTCCGCCCCTGTCCAACAACGTGACACTTTCCAGTTTAGCCACGTGAACATTTATCCTTTCACACCACAAGGGTTCTAAAATGCAGAACGTGAGATGAGGGCAGAGGTGAAGTAGAAACAACCATGGGCTTGTAGTCACAAAGGCCTGGCACTGAATCAGATTGGCCATTTCCTGAGAGACCTCAGCAGCTTATTTCCTCATGGGTACAATGGCGGGTCAAGTATTTAGCACACGGTGGCTATGCAAAAACTGTTAGTTTCCTTCTATGACCATCGACTGTAGGGCTCGCAGGGGATCTGGGGTCATAGAACAAAATATCGCTAAAAATTTGTCCTTTTAGAATGCCACTGACTCAAATGGAATTTGCTGACAGGAGAAAGTAGCACTTTTTTTCCTAGAGGTAGCACTTTCCCTGAGCAACCTGCCTGAACTAGGGAGTAAATCCACCAGCCCCAGAAAAAACAATAGCATTATTCACAAGAGCCTGAAGGTGGAAACAGCCCCAATGTCCATTCACAGATGAACAGATAAACAAAATGTGGACTATCCATACAATGGAATGTCATTCAGTCTTCAAGAGGAAGGAAATTCTGCCACATGCCATGACATGGATGAACCCTGAAAACACACTGGGTAACAGCAAAGGACAAACACGTGGTTCCACCTATAGGAGGGACCTAACACAGTCGAATCCACAGAGACAGAAAGGAGATACAGGTTAGCCCTCGGGAATGAGGAGCTACTGTCTGATGGGTACAGAATTTCTGTTAGGGATGATGAAAAAGTTCTGGAAATAAATAGTGGTGATGTCCCCATATGGTGAACTGAACTATACACTTAAAAATGGTTAAGATGGTAGATCTTATGTTATATATTCTACCACATTTTTTTTTAAATAGGAAAGATATCCCATTCATCCAAAAGGGCCTTGTTCTCTGCTTCCTGGGGTCTGAGCCTCACCTCCCTCTTCCTCATTTCCCCACGTCAACATGTCCCACATCTCCTGTGGGCTTTCCTCAGCCCTGGCATCCAGCCCATCCTGAGGGCAACTCACCAGGCCGGAGGCTCACGGCAATCTCCTGGGGCGCCATCTGAATGACATCAGAGCCCGCAGCACTGGAGCCCTCGCTGCTGAGAGGCAGGTTCCGCAGGACACGGGCGCTGCTGGCCGGGCTCTCGATCTCACCTCCGCAGCCATTTCGGATGAGATTTGCCCTCAAGTCACACCGGGAGGTGACTGACCTTGGGCTGCCAAAGTCCTAGGTGGGGAAATAGAGGCAAATATAGGAGGCGGTCAGGGCAAATCTCCAGAACATCTTGGGCCTGCTGGCCTTCAGCTCTCTACATTCCATTTTCATTGTCTGAAAATGGAGACAATAGTAATCTTGTGTGTGTGTGTGTCTATGTCTGTGTGTGTGTGTCTGTGTGTACACCAGGAATGGAACCCAGGAGCACTTAACCACTGAGCCACATCCCAGCCCCTTTTATTTTTTATTTTGAGACAGGGTCTTGCCAAGTTGTTTAGGGCCTTACTCCAACTGAGGTGTTGGATATGAAAGCATTTTGTTAACTCCAAATGCATAATAAAAATGGTTTCATTGTTATTTTAATGATTAAAATGTTCCTGTCGACCTGATTAGCAAGGAAAAGAAACTGAACCGGTCACAGGGTATATAGATAAAATTCTTTTTAAAAGATACACAGAGTGAGGGATTGATTCCAGGACCCATTCACAGATACCAAAATCTATGGATGCTCAAGTTCCTTATGTAAAATGGCGTAGTGTTTGCATATAATCTATGTATGTTCTACCATTACTTTCTAAAGTCACCCCTAGATGATTTATGACACCTAATATAATGTAAATGCTACATAAATAGTTGTTATACTGTAATACTGTACTGTTTAAGGGATAGTGACAAGAAGATAATTCCGGATGTGTTTAGTACAGATGCAACCTTTAAAAAAAATAGCATTTTCCACTTACAAAAAAAAAAGATACACAGATGATGGAGAAGTCCTTGCTCAGGTATTCACAAGTGAACTTTTGCTGGGCCCACACCTGTAATCCTAGTTACCCAGGATGCTGAGACAGGAGGATGCCAAATTCAAGGCCAGCCTGGCCAAATTAGCAAGACTTTGTCTCAAAATAAAAAATAAAAAAGGGCTAAGGCTGTAGCTAAGTGGTAGGGCACTTGTTTAGCGTGCAGGAGGCCCTGGTTTCAACCCCCAAGATCTCAATAGAAAAAGAAAAGTGAATATTTGAGCTTCTCACACCTCAACTTTGTGGGCACTGGATATTACACAGCCATTCTCCAGAACAACAGGGCAGCATGTGGGGAATGAAGACCCAGCAGTCTAATCCTAGAAGTTTATCATAAGAAAATAATGGGAATAAGGGGGAAGGTCTATAAGAAGACGTATATTGCAGTATCATTTATAATACCATGAACTTATAAACTTGGAAACTTAAATTGCCTAAACCTAAGAAAAATATGGCCCTTCAATAGTCATGACAATAATTGTGAAGATCCAGCTGAAATTTCAAAATGTTGACAATAAGGGGGGGGAAACAGAAAACAGAATTGAATCTGCAGTAGAATTTGAAAGAAAAATGTTAAATGAGATGTTACTGCAGAGGGACCAACATATTTTTGTTTTTATCTTTATCATTGTTGGTATAACAAAGATCTTTTATGTCCTTAAGTTAGATTTGGGAGAAAGCGGTACCTCGGAATGAATTGGGGCAACAGAAGTCTGAGGCATTAATTTTAAAATGAAATAATACACTTTGTTATAAAATCTGGCACCTGTAAGTGTGGATCATTTTCAGGGAAAGGGTTTTTTAATGACAAAGCAAGCCTAGGTTCCTCTCCGAACAAGGCCTGTCACTGATGGATGTAAAAACTACATCTGCTCCTCCAGCTGGCGGGAGGCCAGCTCTATGTCCCACAACCTGGGATCGGCTGGAGGACCTAGGACACTGATCCCTTTCCCTCCCTCTGTAACACTTTGTCACAAAGCCTCAGATGAGTCAGTGTCCCTAGATGGCTGTGTGAGAAGCCAGACTGCTGGCAGAAGCACAGAAATCAGAGGGTCACACCCTTCACCAAGATCTGGCTCCCCAGGACTAATCAATGCCCTCATTTGCAAAATTCAAGAACAAAAAGTCAATAAGATTGTGCAGTATTTTAAATAAGTAGAACCAGATGTATTGTCCTGGGCCTGCATGGTGGCTTTTGTTTCTTTGTTTTCTGGATTCTTAAAATAATTGAATGATTTTTTCATATGGGTATTGATCCCCTGGGGATCTGGCCTGTCAACAACCTCAGGGAATATACTCATACAATGTGGCTCCACATTTTATGGAACAAAGGTGGGGGTGTGGAATTATTATTCTGGGCCTGTATTTCAAACCTAGGGTTTCCAAACTGGGGGTTCCAGGTAGTCAAGCTTGGCTCTAAAGCAGCAGTTCTAATGAAGCAATGAGGAAAACACAGGGATAGGGGGAAGAGAGTGAACTTTTTAAAGACCCACAAGGATTGGTCTGCTGTTCTGAGCTGTCTGAAGCAGAGATCTAATTAGGTGCCCAGAGTTTGAAGGGCTCAGGGCTCACCTACCCAGAGCTTACTCAGATAATTTCTGAACTCCCTGCTGGCTCCTCCAGCTCTAAAAAGCTGCAGTGCTTGGCCCCATTCTGATTACCAAGGTGCACCTGTGTTGATCAGTCTTGGACCCTACCACCAGCTCAGCCATGAAAGCAACTTTGTCTCCCCCCAAATGACGGGAACCCAACACCTCCTGTTGATCTGGACCAGCTTACACTCTGGAATAGACTTAGTCTATTGGTCTTGAGCCAGATAGGTCACAGAGCCAACCTGCTTCACCAACAGCCTCAGCCATTCACTTGGGTTGGTCATCCTGACCATCCCTGACTGCCTGGGTACTTGAACCAGTGACAAACCTCATCTGAGCTTCCCAGACATCCTGCCCAATCAGATTGTGGATAGACACTGCCAGTCCATGACAAAGGAGTTGAACAGGGCTATCTTCCGGCCAGGGAAAATGTACTTGCCCGGATCATTAAGAAACTAAAGTCTAGATGGCACCTGTCAGACTGAACAACTCTGAGGCACCCAGATTGTGCCAATTGCAACCTTAGTAGGGCTTCTTTATTCTCTAGGTTGTTAGCAACAAAGCCCTCTTCAGTTCCAGCACCCCTGGATTCCCTGTTCCCTGCACAAACAGCAACCATCATGAACTCCTGTGCTGTCACCTGCATTGCCATTGTAAGAGCCATCACTGATTACATTAAAAGCTGCAACTTGCAGGGTGACTTTGGGAGTGCCAATCAAGTCAGCAATGTGACAGTACAAGGGAGTATCATGCATCTCCATCATCAATGTGTCAACCTCCTCCCCTTTCACAATGTCAGTGGCTTGCTGCTTGGGGCAGGCCCAGGGGTTTTATTGATGTGCTTAACCGTCTCTGAGACATCTTTACCTATATACCAGCTCTTGTCATCTTTCCCGAGCTCTAGGGTCTCAAAGCCATCAACTGAGGAAGTACTGGACATAGTAAGTCTGAAGAAATGTGGAGACAAAGGCAGTCACCTGAAGAGTAGGATTCCAAAGAGTGTGACATCTTTCTGGCTTGGTCTGAAAATAGCCATGACTAATTTCTAGCCATAGGTTCTTGTTGCCCAAGAAAGGGACAGAGTGCCGCAGATCCCAGCAAGGAGTGTTAACCCCATAACAAAGAACTTCTCCTTTCTCCCGGATGTCCTTTCTAGATATTTTAATTCCAGACAGATGAATATTTAAAGAGAGGAAACCAAAACCACAGAGACCAAGGGAAGATCTTTCTGACGGGGTGTGACCTTTTAGGTGCACAAACAATATGAATCAAGAAAATATCTCAGGGCCCCTAATTGTGAGTGCTAAGCTCAGTGAATGCAGCTGCCTCAAATTATAAACCTCTGGGGAAAAGAAAAAGTCATGATTAAGAATAATCCTCCTCACATGACACCCAAATGTTTAATGTCCTAAGCACTTCTGATCCCAGAGACCTGACACCCAGACCTCTGCAGGGAATTGGACACAGCACATTCCAAGGGGAGGGGCTCTTAAATGCATCACCTGGTACCACTTCTACTTGTGAGGAACCAGAGGTTCACATGCCTAGATTCACCAGATAAGTTTGGGTTCATGTGGCCCTGGCTTCCTGGGCCCGAGTTTGGTGCTTTGCAGCATCTGCTTCCAACTCAGCCAAGGCCACGTGAAATTCTGCAGTAGGAAACTGACCAGGTCCTCGGATTCCTGCCTCTAAATTTGATATTTATTTGCTGCCCCAACTGCAGAGATCTTCCTGCCACCTATCACACTGGAAGAATAAACATCCCCTTGATACAGAGAAACAGATACAGAGGGGCAGATACAGAAACAGATACTCCTAGGAAAGGGGAAGGGGAACTTCTCTCAACATGGAAAAGGAGACAAGTGAAGAGATGAGAAACTGCAGGCCCTGGAAGAAAACAAACCTAGTCTCATGCTGGGCTTCTAACCGGTCACCAACACTGGTGTTTGAACTTGCCGTAAGTCGCCATTCCGGGCTCTACTCCTCCATGGCCTGGAATGAGGAGAACATAATGCCATCCCTATTTGTTGTAACATGGTAACTCCTGACTCCCTGGACATTCTGCTCATGGAAATCTCTTTCCCTGCAGTCAAGGCCAGAGCTCAGGAGCATTAAGGCATCCGGCACCAAGGCCAGTAAATTCAAGTTCTCCTATCTGTGCCAGGCCAGTGACTGTGCTATTTGAATACCACCCTGCCCACTGCTGCCAAAGCTAAAAAACTCTAGCAAGATGTGGGTCTTTGGGAGAGAACAAATTTCCATGTGATCCTGAAACAAGTGAAGAGATGAGAAACTGCAGGCCGTGGAAGAAAACAAACCTAGGCAGGAAAGGGAGAATGCTGGGCCCAATCCTTGGGATGAGGAGGGAAGAAACAAACCGACAGACAGGCAGAGGGCCTAGGTGGAGAAGCGGGCACAGGCATGGAACCCGCTGCAGTGGCCTTCCTCCCTGGATGGGCCGTCTGACCAGCCAAGGCTGCAGCCCTGCTTGGCAGAGCCCTCGTGGATTTGAGGGAAGAGTAACTGATGACAAACCAAAATTTGTGTTGTGTGCCAGCAACACACTGCTATGCATGCTGCCTGCCTGGGGGACAGAGATCCCTTTGCCAGCTTTCAATCGGCTCATTGAATTCACTGAACAAATACTTATAAGACACCTATAATGGGCCAAGATTATCCATTCATTTGGTCTGAGCACAAAAAGATGTTCTCTTAAAGAATCTATATTTTATTGTGAGCTGGAACGAACGCTGACTCCATTTCTTCCTTAGCTCAAACGTAAATCCACTCAAAGTGTCTCTTGTCCATTTCCTGCCAACATCACTGCCCCAGAAGACCCAGCTTGCTGACTCGCCTCTGATCTCTCTCCCTCCTCACTTGCGCCTCCAATTCCATGGAGCCCTTCATTCTTTCTTCTCCATCTCTGCCTTCAAGGGCAAGGACCCCTGCCCAGCCCAGGCCTCACCAGTCTCCTCCATACCTGACCTGCTTCCACCCACCCAAACACCCCTGACCTCACCGCTTTTCCCACAGGTGGTGGCCATACCTTCTGGATTTTACGGCAGCCTGGTGCCATCCAGGGTCAAGTCAGTTCAGAGTCTCATTTTCACCCTCACAACCTCTGCACATACCCAGCCCTGAGTGTGAGCTTTCCTGCCTTTGCCCCCTGCCTCTGGTCCTCCCTGGGAACACTCACCCCTCAGCCTGACCTTGGGAGGGCTACCCTGGCCTGCCGCCTGTGGCCCAGGCTGCTCATCCCCTGAACTCGTTCTCCTGCAGGTCTCCTGCGGGCACTGTGGTGAGGTGTAGTGAGGGGGCTGAGTCGTGATGAAAAGGTGAGTGGGAAGAAGGTGGGCTGTCCTGGGCCTCGCCAGGAAGCACCCACACGCTCTCCTCCATGCATGCTCCTTGGCATAGTGGCTGGGTTGTGGAACCTGCCATCTGGGGGGAGAAGCAAATTTTTCACTAAAAAAAGCAACAGATCAGGCTGAGGCTGGGGCTCAGTGGTAGAGCACTTGCCTAGCATGTGTGAGACACTGGGTTCGAGTCTCAGCACCATATATAAATAAGTAAAGGTCCATTGACAAGTAAAAAAAAAAATAATTAAATAAAATACAAGTTTATCTAAAAAAAAAAAAAGCAGTGGATCAAGTAGGCAATAAATTGCTGGAGTTTGTCGTGTGTTCTATGCTGAGCAGGACAAACAGCAGCGTTAAGTGTTAAAGCTGGCCAAAAAAATGTAGGGCCAAGATGGGCTAGAATAAGGCTAGGGGAGGATGAGGGGCAGGGGCAGTGTGGACAGGTGAAGACAGGCAGCAGTCCACCTGGTCTCAGGGCCTAGAGACCCCAGTCATGAAGGCAGAAGGTAAGTGTGAAGCCCCAGCAAACCACAGTTAGGAAACAAAGGCAAGAGGGCCAGGGTGAGCAGGACCACGCAGGGGAATGCAGCAGAGAGAACCAGCAGGAAGTGCTGTGTAGGGGACGGAAAGGAAGGACACAGGCTGACTCCAATACAGTACCTGTGGGAGAGTACGGTTCAGAGGAGGTGGAATTAGGGTACGATGGGTGTGAAGTGCAGAGGCAAGGAGTCCCCTGGGCGAATCTCAAGTAAAAATGAGGAGGCCATTATGGGATCTGCAGCGGGCAGAAACCCACAGGGAATGTGCTATGGATTCATGAAGAGAGGAGGGAGGTGGCATCATAAGAATGCACTGGCCAGGAGACCTGGCCCTCCCTGGCTGTCCACTAGGTACCAGCCCTCAATGTCCTCTCGCATCCTGTGCGCTTGGCAGAGACCTTATTCCTCAGACAATGTCCCAGGATGTGGTTAAGAAGGCACTGGCTGTACTTATTCCTTCTCGCTAAGGAACAGGATGATAGAAACCATCCCAAACGCTCTGAATAGATCCAGCTCCCTGAAACACACTCATGCCCTGGCGAAAGTTCACCCCAGTGAAGATGGGAAGCCGCATTCCAGGGCAGGTCACAGGAAGTTCTTCAGCCAAGAATGAGGCCCCTCATAAGCAGAGGAGGAGCTGGTGGGCTAGATAGGGAACCCCTGTGTGGGCAGGGCCAACAGTGTGCTCCTCAGGAGAACCTCATTCACTGTCAACATCAGGAGGTCAGACTTGTGGAAGTACTAGCACAAGAAAGGAAGAAACTTAAGTAAACAATGGACTCTGGGTGCTCACATCTCACCGGGAAATAAGCACGGGTGACAGCAGCAATTTGCTGGATAACTTATTCAGGAGATGCAGGGAACTGAGCAGTCCCACCCAAAAGCCCTCCCATGCACTGACCTCACCACATACTCCGTGTAATGCTGGAGGCTAGGAAACATCATCTTCATTTTATACACCAAAGTATTAAGAGGAAATCAGGAGCTGGGCAGTAGCTCAATGATAGAGTGCTTGCCTTCACGTGTGAGACATTGGGTTTGAGCCTCAGGACCATATAAAAAATAAATTGATAAAGATATTGTGTGTTCATCTACAATTTTAAAAAAAAATTAAAAGGAGAGAAAAATCATGGCAAAGCTGAGATTTAAACTTTGCTTTCTAACTCCATGTTTGTTTAACAGTTGTTTTTTTTTAAATCAAATATGAATTTCTTCCAGATTCTTGGCTGAATACTGGGTATGTCGGGGTGAATAAAACCATCTAATTTTGCAAAAAGATGATGATTTAGTTGGGAACACGTATAAAAACAAATTAACCCAGTAAGAAATTATAAGTGCTATATAAGGAATACAGAATATGGGGAGACAGAGTGTCACAGCCTGTAAGAAATAAACAGCCATCCAGTGAAATCCTTCAACTAATATTTATTGAGCAACTTCTGCGTGCTGGGCACTATGCTGAGTGCTGAAGATAAAGCAATGATTTTGCTTCTTCTCTTTTGAGATAAAACTCTTGCCGTAACGTTCCAGTAAAGCTGGGGGGTTTCATTCTCATGTAAAAGGAATGGATGGATGGATGTAATAGACAGATGGACAGGTGTGTATGAAGGGAAATCATGAGAGTTTTCCGAGTAGATGGGTTTGAACTGGAAAGAGTTGGTGAAGAGAAGGTGGAAAGCTGGTAGGCTGTGAAGGGAGAAGGAGCAGATGAGAGTCATAAGGGGTTCATCAGCAGGGCTCTGAGGGTCTTCAAGTAGCTCCCTCTGGTGAAAGGCAGGAGTGAGGTTGGGCAAGGGATGACAGCAGGCAGAAAGGCAGAGGCCTTGGGACTTGGATCCGTCCTGTAGGTCAGAGGGAACCAAAAAGGGTTTAAAGAAAGTTTGTTACAAAGACACTGTAAGTGCAAATATGACCCAGGGTTTATACATGGAGGAGATTCCTCTCTCAAAGTAACTTGTTTAGTATTCTTGCTCCCCAGTAGAAAAGGTTGTAGAGAGTCCAGAGGGTAAGAGGCAGAACCTTCTAGAGGAAAGGGCCTGGGCCCAGAAGTACAAGTAGGAAAATTCAAACCCCAGCTTTGATATACCTGTGTGGCCTTCAACAAATCAATTTACTCAGACTTTCAATAAAATGGGTGTGTTTGCATCCACATGACAGAGCTATTGTGGGGGTTAGAGACACTATAGATATGATAAGTGGCATCTAGCAGGGGTCCACACATGACAGGTTTGGCAGTTCTTAGTCAAAGGTCAGAAAGCTGTAAGGAAGTCCCATTTGCTTCCCACGCAAAAGGGAAGAAAAGCCTTGTTTCCCCAAAATAAGATTAACATTCAACACCATCAAGAGGCCCAATTTAAAACTTATCATTTCGTGAACTCAGATTTGTCGTCATTCTGGATGGAAGCAGAAGAGGCAGCTTGTAGGATCTGCACATGCTCGTGAGTGAGTGTGTGTGTGTGTGTGGTGCTGGGGATGGAACCCAGGGCCTATGCAAGCGAGGCAAGCACCCTACCAACTGAGCTACATCCCCAGCCCTTTACGAGCTTTTTATGAACACTGGATCTGTGTGCTGTGCTGTAGTGTTGTCCCCTTCCTGTCCCCTCCCCCATAACACTCCTTCCCCCCTCTCCCCTGTCCCCCACCAGCCCCCCACATACCTCTTTGGAGCACCAGGCACATTTTGGGTGGATTAGCAGACATTCTTCACACGAGGTGGCACTTCCACTGGTGCAAATGTTGAGCCCTTCAAAGCAAGATAAAGATGCACCAATTAGTTCCTGACTTTGAATCTGAGTGATGAGACCTTTGAATGGCTTGGGGTGTGTGTGGGCAGGGGGGAGGGTTGCTTCCTTCTTTAACAGCAAGTCTGAGGCTGAAGGGTGCTCCAATGCAGATTGCAAGTTAAGGCTTATTTACTGAGGCCAAACATGGAGTTTTTGAAGCATCTACCCAGCATGCACATTTGTGTTAGCAACCCCCTTCTCTTCTGCTGGGCCCCCTTGGATCCCATCTCTTTTCTCCATCACTCAGCAAACCCTCCCTCACTGAGGGAGAAGAGGACCCCTTTACACTTAGTCTGTCCAATAAAGGCAAAATAGTACAAGCAAGAAAAAAGACTGGATTTGCTTTATTCAGACATAAAAAAGAAAATCCTAAATTACATACTATCTAGTCAAAATTTACAGTATATTTTCAGGGCACAGGGGTGCATGCCTGTAATCCCAGCTGTTCTGGAGGCTGAGGCAGGAGGATTGGGAGTTTAAAACCAATCAGGAGGATTGGGAGTTTAAAACCATTCTCAGCAATTTAGTGAAGTCCTAAGCAATTTAGCAAGACCCTGTCTCAAAATAGAAACATGGTCGGGGATGTGGCTCAGTGGGTAAGTGCCCCCGGGTTCCAATCCCTAATTTAAGTATAGAGGTGAAAGATCTATACACTGAAAACTACAATAACTGATCAAAAAGCAAAAAACAAACAAACGAAAACAAAAACAAAAACAAAACCTATGGTACACTAAAAGAAGCTGGCAAGCCTCTTAAAATGAAAAGCAAGTTAAGATAAAGGAAATTCGTTGACTCAAAGTATCTATTAACAGGTCAAAGAGGAAAAATCATACAATTGCCTGGTAGGTAATGAAAAAGCTTTTGATAAAAAAATCAGAAAATAAGATTATAAGGAAACTTTTTATCACTGGTAAAGGTTACTTAATTCAAACCTAGGCAGGTCTTCTTCATCCCACCCCACTAACTGGGAAGGGGTCTCCAGAACCAGGCTCAACTATGAGGACAAGAGTAAGTCCACGGCCCTTTTTCCTGCTGACCCCCCCTCCTACTCACCCACCACCAGCAACACAACTCTCCTGGGTGAGATTCACCATCTTGGTCTTTTCCTTCCTTTCTGAACCATTATTTCTGCACATTACTTTTGACCAAGAGCAAAGCTTGCTGGTCATTCATTCATAATCTCTGAATGAGATTAATTCTATTTGGTCTTCTTGGCACTATTTGGTCTCTCTTGGTCATTGCTTTTGTAAAAAGAAAAGGAGAGAAGCACACTGGATGGATGGAAAGGAAAGAAACCCAGGGCCACCACCCTAGGAAGAGGGTTCAGATGGTAAGGGGGGTAAAGTTAAAAATTAGGGAAAGTAGAGAAGAAAATATAGGAAGGTAGAAGATGGTTACCTAGTTCCACTAGATACCATGAAAATGTTTTGTAAGATAATCAGTATCATTTCTAAACACTAACAATGACCTGGAAAAGAAATCAAGAAAGCAATTTCATTTATGATAGCATCAAAACCACAACAAACAATACTTAGAAATAAATTTAAGTATAGAGGTGAAAGATCTATACACTGAAAATACAATAACGGATAAAAGAAATTGAAGAAGACCCTCTGAAATAGAAAGATATCCTATTCTCACAGTTTAGAAAAATTAATATTGTTAAAATGTCCATGCCACCAAAAACCATCTACCAATTATTCAATGCAATTGAACAATCAACGAGCAATTCAATGCAATCCCTACCAAAATTCCAATGGTATTTTTCACACAAATAGTAAAAAAAAATCTAAAATTCACATTGAACCACAAAAGACCTCAAATAGCCAAAGCAAAGCAATCAAACAAAAAGAATAAAGCTGGATGAATCACATTATTTGATTTCAAAATACACTTACTATAAAGCCATTATCAGCTACTTGGGAAGCTGAGGCAGGAGGATCATGAACTCAGGGCCAGTCTGAAACAGGATGAGACTCCATCTCAAACAAGAAAAAATTAATGATAATAATAATAAAAAGCTGCCAGGAACAATGGCACACGCCTGTAATCCCAACAACTTGGAAGCTGAGGCAGGAGGATCGAGAGTTCAAAGAGAGCTTTAGTAACTTAGCAAGGCCCTAAGCAACTTAGTGAGACCCGGTCTTAAAATTTTAAAAAATAAGAATAAAAAGGGCTGGGGATGTGGCTCAGTGGTTACACATACCTGGCTCAATCCCCAAGCAACCTACAAAACTGTAGTAATCAAAGCATCACGGTACTGGCATAAAATAGACATAGACCAATGTAATAGAATAGAGAGCCCAGAAAAAAATCCATGCACTTATGGCAAGTTGATCTTCAATAACAGTGCCAAGAAAACACAGAGAAGAAAGGCTGGTCTCCTCAATAAATGGTGTTGGAACAACTGGATAGTCACATGTATAAAAATGAAATTAGACCTTGCCTCACCCCATGTGCAAAAATCAACTTGAGATGGATAAAAGAGCTAAAACTATAAAGCTGCCAGAAGAAAACACAGGAGGAGAGTTTCACAACATTGGTTTCAGCAGTGATTTTTTTTTTTTTTTTTTGGATGCTATTTCAAAACAGACCACAAGACCAAAAATTGACAAATTGACAGAAAATAAGATTGTAGAGGAACTGTTTTATCACTGGTAAAGGTTACTTAATTCAAACCTAGGCAGGGCTTCTTCCTTCCACCTCTCTAACTGGGAAGGGGTCTCCAGAGCCAGGCTCAACTGTGAGGGTGAGATTATATCAATCTGAAAAGCTCGTGCACAGTGAAGGAAACGCTCAACTGAATGAAGAGACAACAAACAGTATGGGGGAGAATATTTGCAAACCATAAATCTGAGAATGAATTAATATCCCAAATACGCAGGGAACTCCAAAGTCAATGGTAAGAAAACAAATAACCTAATTAAAAAATGGGCAAAGGATCTCAACAGATATTTCTCAAAAAGCAAACAAATGGCCAAAAGGTGCATGAAATGTTCCACATTACTAATCATCAGGGAAATGCAAATTAAAACCATAATGAGCTATCACTTCATACCTGTTAGAATGACTATTATCAAAAACAAAAGATAAAAAGCATCATAGAGGATCCAGAGAAAAGGCTGTCCTTGTACATTGTTAATGAGAAAGCAGAAAGCAAGAGTTCAAAGAGAGCTTTAGTAACTTAGCAAGGCCCTAAACAACTTAGTGAGACCCCATCTAAGTTCCACTGTGGAAGTTCCTCAAAAAAAAAAACCTAAAAATAGGGACTGGGGATGTAGCTCAGTGGTAACCGTGCTTGCTTAGCATGTCTGAGTTGCTGGAACCAACTCCCAGTACCAGGAAAAAAAAAAAATTAAAACTAGAACTACCATATGATCCAACAATCCTGCTTCCAAGTATACATCCAAAGGAAATGAAATCAATATTTCAAAAAGATACCCATACTCCATGTTCACCATAGCACTAGTCACTACAGCCAAGATACAGAATCAACCTAAGTGTCCATAGGTGAATGAATGGATAAAGAAAATGTGGTCTATACATATAATAGAATGTTATTAAGCTTTTTAAAATGAAGGAAATCCTTAAATGGATGAATCTGGAGGACATTATACTAAGTGAAATAAGTCAGTCACAGAACGATAAACACTGTGTGACCTCACTGATACCTAAAACAGTGATATCTAGAACCGTGGAAATCATAGAAGCAGAGAGTAGAGTAGAAAGGCAGTTTTTAGTTACCAGGGAGTAGTGGGGGTGGGGAATGGGGATATGTTGGTCAAAAGGTACAAAATCTTAAATGGTGATAAACATTTTCATTAGCTTAATTGTGGCAATAACTTTATAAGGTGTACCTATATCAAAATATCACATTGTAATCCCAATGACTCAGGAGGCTGAGGCAGGAGGATGGTCAGTTTGAGGTCAGCCTCAGCAACTTAGTGAGACCCTCAGCAACTTAGCGAGACCCTGTCTCAAAACAAAAAATAAAAAGGGCTGAGGATGCAGCTCAGTGGTTAAGCACCCTTTGGTTCAATCCCTGACTGAAACAATAAGTATAACAAACAATTAATAAAACACACTACATATTGTAAATATATATTATCTATTACTATATATTTGTCAAGTGTACCTCCATAAAATGAGAAAAATAAAAATTTATATGAAAAATATAAAATGAGAAAAAAATTAAGAATATATAATTTTAAAACAAAATGTTAAACAGTAAAAGAGAAGAAGCATCAAAACAGAGGGGCAGAAAAGGCCTCTGGAAACTCTAACCTTTCCCCAGTTTGCTAATTTCAACTTCCTGCTTCTCCTTTGTCACCAGAAGTAAGACCCAAAGGAATCATAAATGGCAAAGGAACCCGCTGGGCAGGATAGGGTCGGGTGAGATGCGCTGGGAAACTGCACTGGTGTCATCCTGAGGGGCATTCGAAGGAACACTAGTTGGGAGAAGAACAGCAGCTGAGACAGGAGGAGGAATAGACAGAGCCTGAGATGCTGGAAAGGAAAGAGGGAGGATTTGTGAGCCAAAGAGGGTGTGAACAGCGGTTTCCACCAGCCAGGGACCTGACCCTAAACCCGGGGCCCCTGGTCTGCCTCACACCCAGTGAACCAGGGGCTCCAGGGCAGGCATCCCTCAGACACCTTCTCACTACCAGGCCTGCAGCCAGAGTTCCTGGGTGCCACTGGGACCTATGGCCCCACATGACCTTCTTTAGCAGGAAGAGTCCTCCCAAGTCCAGACAGGCCAAGAAGGTCTCAGAGCACAGTCCACTAGGAAGCTGGGCCTGCTGCCTGCCCTCACCCACTCCTCCTTTCTTGTTTTTAAATGAAACCACTCAGTGATTTCCAAACAGGCACATAAGCCTTCAAAAATGAGAGCCTGAGGGCCGGGGTTGTGGCTCAGTGGTAGAGCACTTGCCTAGCATGTGTGAGGCACTGGGTTCGATCC